GGGGCTCCGGGCTTTTACTTAAAGGCAAACGATCATAGGAAAGGCCGAAGGCTGGGAATGTGTAAGACAGTATTTTAGGAAGAAACTGCGTTAACAAGGACGAACGCTGAGCCTGTAAGTCACGTAGTAAGCTAGGATTTTTTTTAAATGGCTCCAAGTGGTTATATGTAGCAGAAACACTAGGTCAAACTGGGCAAAACAGAACATGGTGGAGGGAAGGCGGTAGAACGGAAGGAGGGCGGGCGGCGGCCGGGGCTGCTCACCGAGTAGAGGTAGCGCTGGTTGAACTGCTGCAGGGCGCCTTGCAGCTGGCTGCGCTGAGACTGCCACTGCTCAAAGTCCCGCACGGACTCCAGGGTCGGCCGCTGCCACGTGGTGGTCCTGGTGTTGTGGTCCACGTAGTAGACCCGGCCCCGGTCGTCCACTCTTCTCTCCCAGCTACCGCCAGGACAGCAACAATAAAAGCAGACAGAGCCTCTCAGCAGAAGGCACTGGGAAGCAGTCATTTTACTTCAAGCAAATGATTGGAAGGTCAAGTCCAAGCCATGATAAAATAACTTTAGCACTGTGAGTTATATTCCTCAGAAAAACTATTCACATGGAACTTGCTGTTTATTTTGGATAAATACCTCCGTGATTTCTAAGCACGGCCTCAAGAAGGGGCCACGGATGGGACTGTCCCGGGATCCAGGCCCTTTTCTGGGAAGCGCTCACCTCCCGAGTGCTGACTGCGCACCTGCAACCGCCCACAGCCACTGCCACATCAGGGCGTGGACGCCAGGCTTCTGAGGGCGCTCTGCCCGCCAACCTGCGCTGCAGGCAGTCACGCCACCCACCTGCCAAGTTCTCAGGTGCAGCTCAGCACGAACCCGTCCCGATTCCAGCCTCAGTGCCCGACACCCCGATACTCCTTCCGGGGACCCACATGGAGCCACGTGCACTCCCTCCTGGCCCCTCAGAAGAGAATGCCCTTCCCCATCTGCACACCTGGACACACCCGTCCCCAGGTCACCTGCAACCTGCTGTGGGCATTAATTACAGGACGATCTCGAATCCTCGCAGCAACCAGTCTCACACAAAGAGCATGCCTGGCCGTGAGCTTTCGGGACCTGGGATGCGCTTTGTACTGGTGGCCAGAGCTCCCAGTGGGAAGGACGAGGAGAAGTGCAGGTTGCAGGCCGAGTGTGGACACTGAATAGTACCCGAGCTGGCTAGTGGGCAGCATGCTCACGAGATGAAGACACAAAACCAAGGACGGGGGCGTGAGTGTGAATGGCCTTTGGGGACGGTGCGACCGAAACATCTATGATGCCCACCCCACGTGATGCAGGCCACTGTGACCACCTCTGGGCCATCACTGGGAGCCACGCCTCGACCTGCCAGTAAACCCCATGAGTAACGGAGTTCAGATCACTATCTATGAGAACATTCCTTAAACAGTTAGACAGGGACGGACATCGGACCCTCAGTAACTCAAGACAGTGTTTGACAATCTTGTAGGAAGCCCTTCAAGCCAACGAAAGGAAACCATTTGCAGAATGAGAGTCAAGTTCTGTCGCAGGAAGAAAACGTGAAGGCAGGTGCATGAGAGGCACCTGGAGATGGTAAGCTGCACCTTACCCTGGGGGTAAAGGCTGTGGCCTCTCCCACGTGGTCGTTCGAGTGTTATGATCCACGTAATAGGTTCTCCCGTGAGGGTCTTTCCTCTGTTCCCACCTTTAAAAAACACAAAAGTACAAGTAAAAGACAACAAATGAGACAATCTGAAACATGACTCCCCGTTATAACCAAGGAATTACAGGTTTCCCTTTAAAAGTCTAAATATATATCATATTGTTATTTCTTTTCTCAGTTACTAGTGCCTTTCTTAAGTTTTTCCTTTCTCATAAACCTGTAAGTATAGTCAGCAGAAGACAGAATATGTAATGTTTTTATTTTTATTATTTTTAAGTATATATTTTTAATTGATTTCAGAGAGGAAGGGAGAGGGAGAGAGAGAGAGAGAAACATCAATGATGAGAGAGAATAATTGGCTGCCTCCTGCACAGTCCCTACTGGGGATCGAGCCCGCAACCCAGGCATGTGCCCTTGACCAGAATCGAATCTGGGACCCTTCAGTCCGCAGGCCGATGCTCTATCCACTGAGCCAAACCAGCTAGGGCAGAATATGTATGTTTTTAAAAAGACACTGATTGACAGAGTTCCAAATCATCAGAGGAGACATTTAATCAAGGGCAGAGGAACTTTCAGTCTAATAGCAAGCCCGAGGCACAGATGTCAGGGAAGTGACAGTCAGTTTTGCCTGCAATTCCAAAACCACGCATCTGAAAGCTGCCAGCAGGTGCCGCCTGCAGAAGCCAGGACCCCTGCTTCCTGCAGGCCTCCCTCCCTGGGCACCAGGGTCGCCTCTGTGCACAGCTGTCCCGCTCTGGCCTGCAGACACCCCATTGTGTCTTCCCTGTTCCACTTGAGACTCTACTCTCCATCGCACGCTCTCCTCTGTGCTCCTTGCTTCTTCCTCTCATCTTTCCGTAATGGTATGTAAGACACATTTTAAACATACAAAATAAAGACCTGGCATTCCTGAGTTTAACATGCTTGTTTTCAATCTGAAAGAACAGAAAGTAGTTTTGTCTAAAACACAAGGATCCAGTTAAATTTGGTTTCTTTTTTATTAGGGAGGCCTTGCTGATTTCCCCATGCAAGGCCCACACTTACTGCAGCTGCTCCCTGACGAGTGCACAGACACACACACGTGCACACACACACACTCTAACACTCGCCCTCCTCCCAGCCGCTGCACACACAGGCGGGCAGGGCCCTTCCTCACATGACTCTGGAGACCCTCCTGGCAGCTGAGCCAGGAGCAGGCCTGCCTCCCGCCCCTCCTCGTCCTCAGTAACTGTGGGGACTCATCCACCTGATTTTGGAGAACATGGTCCTGGGGCTGCCAAGGAAGGACATGGCAGAAACTTGGTGAGCCCAGGGGCCGCCTCCGCGGGGCGCTGGACAGAACTCGGGGGTCGCCTCCGCAGGGCGCTGGACAGAACTCAGGGGTCGCCTCCGCAGGGCGCTGGACAGAACTCAGGGGCCGCCTCCGCAGGGCGCTGGACAGAACTCAGGGGCCGCCTCCGCAGGGCGCTGGACAGAACTCAGGGGTCGCCTCCGCAGGGCGCTGGACAGAACTCAGGGGCCCGCCTCCGCGGGGCGCTGGGACAGAACTCAGGGGCTGCCTCCACGGGGCGCTGGGACAGAACTCCGGGTCGCCTCCGCGGGGCGCTGGGACAGAACTCGGGGGCCGCCTCAGCGGGGCGCTGGACAGAAACTCGGGGTCGCCTCCGTGGGGCGCTGGACAGAA